TACCTGATTAAGGATCTATTCAGATGTCACAGCAGTAAACAAGAAGCATCTATGAAATTACTTCCAAGTAAGCATAATAGTTGGATCATGGCCACGGGGATTAGCAACGCTGAATTTTCATGGAGAATACAGTGCTATATTAACTGATGTGTGGAACTCTCATTTAAATTCTGCTTGTACCTTAACGAGGAAAAGGAATCCTTCAGCAGCACGAAAAGGTCGTGGTGTGGGATTACCCACTTACAAGGCAAGAATGCCCACTCTTTTCATTTTGCCCATATTGTTTTGTACTCTACAGTACATAATAGCTAGATACAACGAACTAGAGTTATCTTGTAAAGTCCCCCTCTCTCTAATATGACAATGCCATCCTGTTTAAAGATTTTTTTTAAAAAAACTCAGGCCAATTGTATATGTCCTTCTCCCATTTATAGAAACACATTCAAGCATAAATGTAGCTTAAAACTAGCCATAGAACTATTGTGACGGTTTTAAATTGGCATAAAAAAGAGTAATTAAAATACAGACAGGCAGTGTGAATGACGTTTCATTTATGATACCAGTTTAGCATGTGAGGGGTTATTATCCATTAGGTAAACTTTTGCATCATAGGTAAGGTCAGAATAACCGGGTCAAAGATATCCCTATCTAAAATAGTGTCCAAGATGGCCATGAGCCTTTAAACACATCTAGTAAAAGAATATTAAAATAATTTTTTTTCACTTGAAATACATTTTCATGAAAGATTTCAATAGCATAGAATAGTCATTAAAAGTGGAGGGAACTCAAAGTTTATGGCCAGTTTTGTGACCAAATAAGGTTCTCACCCTTCAGTATTAAAAGTCAGAAAGGCTGGTCCCATCCTCCCTTCAAATGTTTGCCAAAACAGATAACAAGCTGTAACCTCAGCAAAATTCTGATCAGCAGGGATCACGTGCTCCTGCAGCTCTCCCTATAAAATACCCAAGAAGGGTACGGACTGGCATTCACCTTCACCATGAAGGGAATCATACTTGTTCTCGTACTCACCCTTGCGGGTAAGTTCATGTTTTCTTTTACCCATGGTAGAATTTTGTATAGTTTAGCCAAAATATAATTTATAATTCAAATGTACATATTTATGGTTATATTTACACTAACATATCCATTTTCTTTCCATCAGGGAGTGTGAACCCAGCTCCCCGTAAGTACACAGTTTTCTTTTCATATGTAACAGCACATTTGCTGAGTTGACTTTCACGGCAGTAAGATCTTTCGAGGAGGAGAAAATAGTTGAACTGCTATAGCATAATAACTTTTAGTGCATTTTATCCCACCCCCATTTCTAAGGAGCTCCGGGTGGTGTGTGCTATTTTCCCCTCATTCATTTTCGCCTTCCAGCCACTTAGTGAGGAAGGTTAGCGTGAGGGTCTGTGACAGACCCAAGGTTGCCCGTCAAGCTTCCAAAGCAGAGTGTTTGTGTGTTTGTGTGTGGGGGGGTTCCAGTATAGATCTCCTAGACACTAGCATGACTCTCTAAGCACTGCACCTTGCTGGATCTCTAAGAAACTGAAGGGCAAAAGTTCCCAATTCAAATGGTGTCTCCGTTGTGAATGCCCTGGATAGATTTAGCAATCCCCTCTTCTTCAGCCCCCCCTACAACTAAGATAACATTACAGTGCTACCTCACAGGGTACTTCTAGGCTTCACAACAATGTAATAGCTATGGTGCACTTGGAGCATTACAGAGCACTGTATAAATGCAGTATTACTTATTACCTGGCTCTAAATTATTAATCTGTTAATTAAATTTAAATACATTTAAATACATTTGCACCACACCTAAATCTCAAAAGATGTTTCTGAAGTACACTGAAGGCAGTCTGAGATGTTCCGTGATCTTGTAAAAGCTGCCATTCATTGTTCAATGATCTGCCTATCCCGTTCTGCAGAGTTTCAGGTTCCTGTTGGGAAATCGCTCTTGTACAGCTACAGAGGTGAGGCGCTAACTGGACTGGAAGATGAAACATCAGGAAAAGCTGGGCTGAAGTTCACCTTAGATGTAAAGTTGAATGGAGTGAACAACAAACGTTTCGTTCTCATGGTAAGTGCTGCAGCACCGTGCAAATAAATTGTATATGAATTTAAAGCAAAACTGTCTCAAAAAAGGTTCCAGTTGAATGACCAGCACTGTGAGGATACCACATGAAATTACCTTGGTCGGCCTGAGCCCTAGAATACTAGTGGCATCTCCCCTCCCCTGGCCATAGGCACAGTCACAGCCTTTCTGTATGCAAGGAGGCTGCCCAGATGCCTGAACCTGGCTTATGGCAGCCAACCATCAACAAAGAGGTAGTGTTTGCTGCCGAGTGCCCCACAGCGTGCTTGCCCTTTGCCAGTGGAGGGAGAAAGGAGGTGGGGAAGCCAGAACAGAGGCGGAACCTGGCTGCTTCAAGAACAACTGTGCAAGAAGCAGCAGGGGATGGGCATGAGAGCGAGTGGGTAACCAGTGAAGTCAGGGGTGATAGCTCCCCTAAGAGTCTGAAGAGAAAGGGTTGGACGGGATGGGAAGAAAGTCCCGGGGGGAGGAAAGTGAAACTGGGGTCTGTAGTCCTGTTTCATTTTTGATGACAGACTAACCGGCTACCCCTTTGGCATTATAACCAGTGGGAAGCCAACCTGAGTCCACTACTAATGGTCTCCTGGACCCTGAGAGAGTCCAGACAGTGAATGCAATTGCCCCATGGGAGGTGAGAACAGGAAGCTGTGCTGGGCGCCTTGAGGAGCTGGATCCGTGTCTTCTCCTCAACAAGGGAATTATAGCCCATAACTGAATGCTTAGCCAGAGGCTTAAAAGCAAGTGGAGAGGCTGTAGCTCCTGGCTCAAAAACCTGACAATGTGTACCAGCAAACTTTTCGAAGTTCTAGGCATGATCCTAAGAACATAAGAGAAGCCAATGCTGGATCAGGCCAATGGCCCATCCAGTCCAACACTCTGTCACACAGTGGCCAAAAATACCAGGTGCCATCAGGAGGTCCATCAGTGGGGCCAGGACACTAGAAGCCCTCCCACTGTTGCCCCCCCCAAGCACCAAGAATACAGTGCATCACCTGCCCCAGCCTGAGAGTTCCTATCTATACCTTGTGGGTAATAGCCACTGATGGACTTCTGCTCCATATGCTTATCTAATTCCCTCTTGAAGCTGTCCATGCTTGTAGCCGACACCACTTCCTGTAGCAGTGAATTCCATGTGTTAATCACTCTTTGGGTGAAGAAGTACTTCCTTTTATCTGTTATCCTCTTGGTGAGGTGCAGACAGTTTGGAAGCAGAGGATTGAGTAGAGGCAAGAACGGGAGAAAGAAGCCAAAATATATAATAGTAGAAGAAAAAAGAGAGGTACCCCAAATCCAAAAAAAAAAAAAATGGGGAGGAAAAAAGAACTGAACACAAGGGGATGTTAGATCCTGATCCTTCACAACAAGAACATATTTCCCCCCTCAGACATTCCTGTAGCTTTGGTTTCACTTTCCGAACTTCTATCCATCAACCCCTATGCACGCTGAAAGATAATCTTATATGTATTATGTGTTCACATAGCACTGAAATTACCGACACATTAGAAATGTGTGTGTGTATGCAGGGGTCTTGTTGTAGAAAAAGAGCTGCCGGAGCTCATTAGCATAACTCATTAGCATAACTTATTTGCATATGCCACGCCCCCTGACATCACCGGAAGTGACAGAAGGCCACACCCCCTGACATCACCGGAAGTGTGTCAGAAGGCCCGGCTACTTACCCTCCTGCTTCATCCTCATTCCCAAACGGAATGAGGATCGAAGCAGAGGGCGGGGTAAAGAAGGGGGCGGGGCTTCACCACGTGACCGCCCCGCCCCCTAGAGGTTCTCTTCCGGAGCTCCGTACCTGAGAGCTCCCCCCCGACTAGAGCCCTGTGTGTATGTAAATGTGTCATGGAGCTACAGCTGACTTTACAGCAATCTCTCATGGGAGTTTAAAGGCAAGAGACATTCAGAGGTGGTTTACCATTGCTTGCATCTGCATAGCAACCCTGGACTTCCTTGGTGGGGAAGTCCCATCCAAATACCAACCAGCACTGACCCTGCTTAGCTTCCAAGATATGACAAGATCATCCTAGCCTGGGTCATCCAAGTTGGGGCTACATAATAAATGAGAGGAGGTCAACTCTCTTTCCTGGTATCATTCACCTATTCCATGTCCTAACTTTTGAGGGAGGAACATTTGTAGTTTTAGTACATAAAGATGACTGATGCCTTTATTGGTAACTCTTAGAACAGCGCTAAATAGTTTTGTCCTGGTCTTAGGAAAGTTTACTGCTATGATCATATGTATAATTAATATTTTTAAAGCATGCATATTGCAGTTAGTAGAAGGTGTCAGAAGGAAATAGCCTGCAGCTTGCAAAATGTGGCCAGGGAGGTTGCAAGACAAAGGGGATGAGGGGGGGGGGGAGATTTGGAACAATCATTCTCTTCCTCTTGGGTGAGCCAAGGGAAAACTGGCTCAGTTGATCTTCACAAACCCTTTCTGCTTGTGGATCACATCATATGATCCAAACAGTTGATTTTTAGTGTATATTAACTAACTTGTTTCTCATTTACTTTTGAGAAATAGTATATAACATAGAGGGACACAGTCCAGCCCAAATTCATTACTGTAAGTCTTTCCTGTTGAAAGAGCCAATACATGTCTGGATCATTATCAATGATATTGTTCTTTATTCTTTTTCAATGGAAGTAATTTTCCCCTCAATTTTGTCCTCAGCTTTCAAACCCAAAAGCGGAAGACTGTATTGGGAAATCATTTGTTCATTCTCCCAAGCAAACCCAGGAAATTGAGCAATGCTGCCAATTCTCTACTGAAATTGAAATGAATGGCAGGACTATTGGGGAAATTTCTTTTGCAAAAAATACCCCTAGATTTTGTAGGAACATCGTCAGAGGAATCGTGGGTATGCTTATCATAACATACAAAAACGAGAGGATGTATGAAGCACAAGAGGTTTGTTTCTTCCATTTATAGTACACTTGCACTCACTTTTTCAAGGGGTGGGATTTATTTGTGCAGTAAAGTACCTCACTTTACTGTTTCCACTTACATTCCTGCTGGATGGTTTCTAGTTCAATAGTTAGATGTTAATCAATTGGATTATTTTTCATTGAAAGTCCTAATTTATTATTAGAATTGCCAAATGACAGGATTGGAACCAAGTAATTTGTGTTTGTAGTGTTATACTCACTATGAAATCCATCAGCCAGAAAGCACTGCCGAAGGTTTGGGGACTATCTAGCCATTTGCCAGATCTATTTTTGTTTGTGTTCTAAAATGCACCTGATGTAAATGCAGGGGGGGGAATTAATACCAGGAAATCTAAACGAAACAACAATTTATAGCTATGGAAATTTTCCTACATATTTAATGGTATTTTCATTTTGGTAAGACACATTTCACTTCTGCACATGCCCTTATTTATTAATACTGAAATTTGTGTTTTTGTATCTTTATCTTGAAGAGTGGTATACAAGGTGACTGTGATACTAAGTACACTGTCAATGAAAATGGGAGGAATGATTGGATCACCATTACTAAGACCAAGAATTTGATGAATTGCAAGAAGCAAGTGGTACAGAATATTGGAATGGCCTACATCCATGCTCTTCCATCCTGCCCAGTGGTAAGAATGCTGTAAACATATTTGCTGTCAAATTAGTGTAAAATTAGTCTGCATTCACACTTACTAAAGGTTCCTTTTTCTATGATTTAGAAAAACAGGTTGCTTTCAGGAGCTCTGATATCAGAATACAAAGTGAAATTTGAAAATAATACTATCCTGATCAGTAAAGCTGAAGCAAATGAGCTATACAAAGTTTCTCCAGGCAGTGAATTTGACACTCCTGTAATTTTAGAAGCCAAGTAAGTAGAACACCTTTTAAAAAGCTAAATAAGTTCTGAGCACGACTGAGATTTTGTGGCAACTGGGTCCTATTTTGACTTACACTGTGTAAACCATCCTCAACCTCAGTTAGAAAGGTGGACTTCAAATAACATAATTAACTACGTAAATATAATAGTTGGTATAATTGGTCTGTGACTTAACTGCTTGACCAATGTTAACCAACAAGCTTTCATTCAGTCCATGGCTTGTAGAAAACAACATGTGTATAGGTAAACAGAACAAAAGTTGCTCATAAATTGTAAAATCCCAGTTCTATGTTATTCCCAGTATATACTAGCACTCCCACTGCATAGGCTAAAGTGAACCAGCACTTCTGTGACCTCAAAGCAGCTGAGCCAATGGCAGGCAAGAACAAAGGTATTTGTCTACATGGCCCCTCACTGAAATCAGCTGTTAATGTGACTTAGACCATGCTGGTAGATCCTATAAGTACCATACAAATTATACATTTTCTTTTGTAGTGTATTTTGTTCCCTAAATGCATCAAAAGACCTTATTCAAAAAAGTGATCACTAAGAGCCTAACTACATATCATGCTTTTCTCTAGGTCCACCCCAGGTCTACATGATCAAATGTGTACTTCAAGTTTTGTGCTAAGAAATTAGTCTCAGGCATACACAGGCTCAGTTCAGTTCAGGACTATGGCTCACGGGGAGAGGTGGCTTCAGCCCCCCTCCCATGTACCCAACCTGGAATGGCCCTGCAGATGCTGTTTACCCCATGTGCCCTGATGGGGTACACACAGATTTCTACAATAGAACAAGTAGTGCCCCCCTGAGGCTGTTTCTGCTTGGTATAATGGGGGTATCCTCCCAGTCCAAATAGGCCTGGATTCAAGTTCCTGGCATGGAACTCACAATATACTGTTGAATGCACAGACCCCAGGAGAACTAGGGGAAAATGTTATGTGTTTTTAGGCCCACAGAAGCTGCTTCATAGCATAAGAATGGGCCTTCCAAGCCTTGTTTTCTGTAAAGCAAAACTCCGGGGGGAGGGGGGAGAGCAGGAGTGAACTGGGAGACCAGAACAGCCCTGGGGAAAAGTCCTGCACCCCTCCACTGTCATGTCTCCTGATAGAGGAGGACTTGCCCTCATCAGCTACCACCAGAGACTCACTACCTACATAACTTGGTGGCCTGGCCTGGCCTGGCAGTGGCAGCCACAGCAGCACCAGCCCAGCCTCACCTGGCCCAGCAGCCACCACTGTGTGACTTGGGCCAGTCACTATACAACCCACCCCAGTGCCAGCCACCATTCTGCCTGGCCAGACTTTACCTGGGAAGAGGCTGTCAGAGGTGGGGAAGCTTGGCTATTGCCCTACTGGTTCAGTACAGCCTGATTCTATAAAGTCAATAGCTGCATTTCCATGGACTTTGAGTGGGTCAGCATTGCATCTATTCAATCTCAGTTGTCTTCTTGGATTTCTCAGGCTAATCCAGGATCAATTCATTAACTCATTCATGGTATCTGTGGTTTTCTGTTCCCTTCCAGACAAGAGCTTATTCTGACTGGGGTGAAAGCTGAAAAACCTCAACAGCGGCAGAAGCCTCAGAAAGGACGACAACAACAAGCAGTCTGGCCACAGGATGAGGACCATGAAAACATTTATTATGAATTTTCAGACCAGCCCCAGATGGCAGGTCATATGATAGTGACTGACAACATTCCACAGCAGGTAGAGAATGCATCCACTCTCTGTAAAGGCAGCCAGAGAGGACTTCTTCTGATCCATTGTAGTGAATATACTCTATCTTACTGTTGTCTTCTATTTAATCTTACAGATTATGGAAAAAATGCAAGAATTAGCCCAGAGCAACCCAGCAGGCAGCAAAGCAGACAATGCTAAAAAGTATCTACAGGTCATCGAACTGGTCCGTAGAGGAAGTTTTAATGACCTGGCCACTGTTTTACAGCAGGTTGAAAGTCAGCCCCGTGTCAGGTATGTTGGCTGCCTGGCAGTTAATTCATAGCACTGTATTATGTTCTGGCATACTGACTGGTACCCACCCCAAACCTTTTGCTACCAGGGCAATAAAGCCTCAGGCTTGGCCCCCAAGTCTTATCAGTTTCTTCTATGAAGGAGGGCAAAGAATAAAACCAAACTGTTCCTTTCTACTCATTGCAGGTTTGCTCTGCTGCATGTAGTTGCTATGGCTGGCAGTGATAGTTCACTGGAGCTCCTCAAAACTGCAGTCCATGACCAGAAACTGGAAACCTATGAACTACTCCCACTTATTCCCACAGCCTTCCACTTTGCAACCCCTAATGAACGTGCCGCTTCATTGGCAGCAGTGAGTACATGTGAAATCATCATTCGTTGTATCAAAATAAAATTGCATGCAGTCACTTTACAGGGAAGTCAACAGAATGCAATTCAAAATAATGATTGTTGCATCTAAAATAAGACAAATTTTCCATCAAATGCCATCATATCCATGCAAATGCCATCATATGCAACTACTTTTCTCATTCTTTTTCTCTTGAACAGGAAATAATTGCCAGCCCCAAAATCAAGAATGAACCCTGGCTTAAAATGGGAGCTAACATGGCATACGGAGCTCTGGTTTCCAGGTGTATTGCTCAGTCTCCATCTAGGGCCAACGATCTTCTCAAGGTGTGTGTCCTTCTTTCAGGCTAACATATTTCATTTTCTGGAGACACAGAACAGTTTCTTTATTCAGTTCTAGCAGATGATGACACATTACAAATCTTAAACTATTAATTTCAAAGGTACCCATCAGAGTCAGTACTAGTACAGATTATAAGAATATAAAGGAAGGGGGAACTTGCTAGATGAAGGAAATGGTACTGGCTTCTGTAGAAGGATACAGCTTGTATTACTGTTTGTGGAATTAATTTTGTTGTTCCCTTGGAAAAGAGCAAATTGTATGCTTGAAAGGAGGACTTTAGTTTGTTAATGAGTATTGATTGTGTTGCAGGGGGATTCTGTGTGACTGGAGTGGGATGATACTAAGATCTCTTGCAGCCCACCAGGGCCCTGATCTTTTGCCTTCATAATTGTAGGACATAATAGCATATTCCAACACAGCATATACATCCAGTCAATGACCACAGTAATGCCATTTAAATGCAACTCTTCATTACATTCCCACTGAAGAAAGGCAGCAACATGCACTGTATGAGGAATAGTTTGTATGCTTGTTAGCATCTCTCTCTCTCTCTCTCTTTGTAGCATCTTCATGATCGCTTAACTGATGCAACCCAAAGCGGAGATGAACAAGAAATTATATTATGTTTGAAGTCCCTTGCCAATGCAGCTCATGGAAACAGCTTGAAGCCCCTCAAGAAAATCCTGCTTGCACGTAACAAATATACAGACCAAATTCAAGTGGAAGCTGTTTTGGCCATAAGACAGGCAGCCAGGATGGACCCGAAGACGGTAAGATGAATAAAGGCAACTCCTCTGAAATATATGAAGCTCCAAGTATGTGCCCTGTGGAGCAAAGAAACTCAGTAGCCACAGTGCGTTTATGGATCCAAGAAACAGCTCTTGTGATATTTTCAGTGCAATACAAACCGACATTCACAGTTTACTTGAGGACCAGGATTCGATGTAGCTGGCACTGTAACTGTGTCCAACCTGTCCTCAGAGGGTTTTATAAGTACAAACCCTGCACTTAAATGGGGACCATTGCTGCTTTCATAGTTTTCCTTGCAACCTTGGGAATCAGATTTTGTGACAGATTTGTGAAGGATAGGTGTTATCAGTTATATTAGCCATAACAGGAAAAAATGGAGCCTCTCTGTTCAGAGGTAGTATACCAGATCATGGAGCAGAAATGGCTGTTTCCATTATTCTGTGCTGAAGAGCTGCCCAAGAAAATTTATCTGATCAGTGAAGGACTAGATTCAGTGGACTAGAAGTGCATTTATTATATGTCAGTTATTGGATTCTCCACTAGCAGTGTAATAATACAGCCACACAGGATACATATATCCTTGATAATACACTCTGCTTCAAAACTATTAACAATCTCCTCAGGCCAATTTAAATCTTTGGGATTTGATCCCCTATTCATAAAAATCAGTTTGTTCCTGTTGTGTGATTCATCCCTGCAATGTACATAATTACTGATGGATAAATAAACACCTTGGCAATTTAACGGACACTTAAGAAATGTTTTGTTTCCTTCTAGGGGCAAGAGAGTCTCATTGTACCCTTTATGGACCGTGAATATTGTACTTTGGCTCGAATAATGGCTTGTGTCAGCCTCTTGGAAATGAATATTTCTCTCCCTCTGGTAGTAACAATGGCTGAAGTGGCAGCCAATGATAATGATGTGCAGTTTCAGAGATTTGTAATCGCTCACATGAATGAGGTAGCAGGCCTCCGGGTCCCACAGTATGCTGAAGTGTAAGTACAGATACAACCATACTATTCATCACACGTTAACTATTATTGCTGTTGTTTATTATACCTCTCCTTTTAACAGAGGCCCTCTCTTCCATTCAGTAATAATAGCCAGCCAAACCACCTCTGTTCGTCTCTGGCCTTGAAAAACCTATGGACTCGCCATAAGTTGTCTACAACTTGACAGCACTTTCCACCACCACCAATAATGGCCAGCAGCACTGGCTTCACCCACTGACTCATCCCACATAAGCACACACACGGGCAAGGGGCGGGAGCCTATCATTCCATCTGAGGCTTGGACAGAGTAGGTTTAGGCATCCTAGATGCTTTCTGCCATTTCTTTGTTTCTTGGCTCATTCACGGGAGTGAACAACTGACGTGTGGTACATATTAAGTCTAATAAAGACAGCCAGAGCTTCATCTGCTTGAAGAAGAAGATTACAAAATGTATGTAAATGCTATGAAGTGCTATGTATATAAATTCAGGATAACATTTCATGTGTCTGACAAAATGGGTTCTAGATCGTGAAAGTTGATGACACAATGTATCTTTTGATCTTTGGGTTGCCATAAGGATCTAGGTTGCTTTTTATTTCACCATTTTAAAATTTTATTTAGGTCTTCCGCTTGCAAGTTTGCCCTTAAACTTCTGAAGATCCGGTCTTTCAAAATGCAGAATTATTACAGCAAACCAAAGATATTTAAGTTCTATGACAGTGAGTTGAAAATAATTATCTGTTTGCAAGCTTTTTGCCAAATAAGTCATATTCTTTTGAATCTTGCAATGTGCTCCTTCATAGGAAGTATGTGCTACGGATTACAACACACATTTGGCCATGCCCTGTCTGAATGTTTTCTACATTTTGCTTTTCTAGTTCAAAATAATATCATTATGTTGTGTTTGTTTTCATAATTTTACAAATGTCATTCACCTAAAATAGCCTTGTACAGCATGAGATCTGCCGAGCCAAAAGCAGCTTTCCAGCAACACAGGACTGCCCAATAGACACTCAAGAGATTGCCTGTTTTTCATGCCTGTCTAGGTCCTGATTGTTTGGTGTGGTAGGGTTATATATTAAAATATTTATTAACTGGTCTTCTACGAAAAGGCTGTCCATATGATGTACAATAAAACTAACATAGCACCAATAGCAGCTAAAGCACTATTCAAGCAATAACTGATAAAACACAGAGAGAATTCACTGCCACAGGAAGTGGTGGGTGCTACAAGCATGGACGGCTTCAAAAGGGAATTAGATAAGCATATGGAGCAGAGGTCCATCAGTGGCTATTAGCCACAAGGTATAGATAGGGGCTCTGGGGCAAGTGATGCTCTGTCTTCTTGGTGCTTGGGGGGGGGGGCCAACAGTGGGAGGGTTTCTAATGTCCTGGCCCCACTGGTGGACCTCCTGATGGCACTGGTATTTCTGGCCACTGTGTGATACAGAGTGTTGGACTGGATGGGCCTTTGGCCTGATCCAACATTGGCGTCTCTTATGTTCTTATGTTCTTATTAGAATAGTAAGAAATACCATTAACATGTGTAAAAGTAACCCAGTGTAAAACAGATTTTTAAACAAACTTTAAACAACATTAATAGTTTATATTTATTTACTTAAAATGGTTATACCCTACTATATCACATAATGCTGCCTTATACTGAATTATACCATTGGTCCATCATGGCCAGTATGGTCTATTTCTACTGGCAGTGGCTCTCCAAGGCCTCAGATTAGAGATCTTGCACATCACCCATGACCTGATCCTTTTAAAATGGCATTCAATGGATTGAACCTGGGACCTTCTGCATATCAAACGGGTGTTCTAGCTTGAACCACAACCCCTCCCCTTGAGAGAGTCTTAGTACAGTCAAGGCAGCTAACAGAACAGACTAATGAAAAAAGTCTCTGTAGTATTAAAACAGAGCAGAAGTATCTAGAAATATACCAGTTCATTAACAATCCAACAACAAAATTAGCAGAGTGGAAGGGGGACAGCTAAAATGTTCTTTGGGCTAGTCATTTTCTGAATTTACTGACAAGGCTGTTTTAGTGCAAATGGTTGGGATTGTGTCAGCACTGGATCTCATAAATAAAAATGTGAATGACTGCAAGCTTCCAAAAAAATGGTTCAAAAGAATACTAGCATAGTATCTTTCCATTTCAATACTGGGAAATCGGACTTGTCTCTGTTTTTCTTACAGGCCAGCACGGAATTGGATTTGTTGAAAAAGTTATCACAGAGGGCGCTGTCAAAAATACATTCCCCTCAAGTGCAATGTTAACCACACAACTACTGCTTCCTGGTGGAACAGCTAATCTGTTTGAGGTCTGTGTTACACTAATACAATTCATTTCTAGGTGAAATGTTTAAGAGTCTTATTCTGTCGCTCCATTGCTTCACAAATGATAAATGTTATCGACTTATTATGCTCTCTAAAAACACAGGCTCGTTTTGGAGCTGGTGTCCTCGAGGAACTTTTGAGGGGCAAAAGCCAATTTAATCAGAAGATAAGCAAGACTGAAAAAGCGGTATGTGAATTCATTCTTTGGGTGACATCTTCCATAGGAAAATGGTAGTTGGGATTATGCCTGAGGCTTTTGTCAGGCCAGTTGTGCTGATGGAACCCAGGATTTAGGAGTATGTTTCTCCTCCATCTTTCATCATCAAGAATATCTGTAGTGGTATAAAGGACCTGGTCTCACAATGGTCTTTACACTGTAAGATTGTGACTCTCACAAAGGGACGTAATCCTCTTTAAGAAGATGTGAGAAGCTGCAAGTGAAGTATGCTTAGAATTATTTCATTTCATAAATAATTAGATCATTTCTGCTGCCTTGTGTTTACTTCAGTGTGTATTTCAGTAGATCCAATATTAAATCATTCATATTTTCCTCTTGATTTTCAGGTGCCAGGAGCATATTCTGAAAGCCAAGATCAATTTCTCAGTTTCAGTATGTTTGACAAAGAAATTGCCTATCTCCCCAAAGCTGAGAAGGTAGCTATGGTTTGTTTTTTTCACGATCTGATTAACAATATGATCTACTTGTCTCCCAACTTACTGCATCTTTCCCCTGTTGCAGACTCTGCGTGAAGAATATTATCAGCCACTGATCGAAACAGCTCTCAGAAAATTCCAAGAACTTCCTAATGGCATTTCTGTACAAGCTATCAGTCCAGTGGCATTTGCAGAGATTCGACGCAGGTTTCCTAACAATCTTGGTGTGCCATTAGAAGTAGGTGCCACTGTCATGTTCATGGCAGATATCTCAGGAAATGGTAAGCCTGGAGAGAACAGTGTTTCTGACTAGTTTGGGAGAATACTGTGCAGTGGGGATGGCTGTATCCAGTGATAAAACTCAGATCAAGTTTACAAAGTTTAATGATTTTGCTTTAACTGCTAAATCCCCGCAAATGTCAGGGTAATATCATCTAGCCAACTGCATACACACAGAGCTAAATGTCACTTGCCCTAACCTGGATGGTCCAGGCTAGCCTGATCTTATCAGATCTTAGAAGCTAAGCAGGGTTGGCCCTAGTTAGGAATTGGGTGGGAGACTGCCAAAGAACTCAAGGGTTGCTGTGCAGAGGCAAGCAATGTCAAACCACCTCTGAATGTCTCTTGCTTTGAAAGCTCTCCAGGTCACCATAAGTGGACAGCTATTGGATGGCATTTTCCACCGCCAAATGACACTTAAAATTCTATTTCCCTTTGCTGCCTGTTTCCTACATTACCAGAATACTTTTCTGTGTATTAGTAGTGCATGGATGGAGTGATCCCAGGCAAATGTAGCTTGAAATGAGCACTGTAATGGACCCTTAATAGGGCACCCCAGCCTCACCTTCTCTATTAGCATGTCATGATGTTCTTATCCTCTATGGGACACCAGCAAGGACTGCCCCCAATTCTAACCCTTACAGGGACAGGAGGGAGTGACATTCTGCTTACTTTGCTTCATATGAATCTAACTTCATTAAAATCAGTTGAGTTACTTTTGATTTGCTAAGGCATCTTACAAGCACAATCCTAGACCTCTCCTTAGCGACACAGATCACATGAGGCTTACAATGACAGTCTGGTTGATATCCCTTTAGCCCTGGTGTTCCTTTGGTCCTAGGGCACACAGCTCTGCTTTATTTGTGGACAAAGGAACAATGTCGAGTATAGGGAATACTTCACCAGTTGCTAAGCTATCCAAAATACTTAAGAGATTATACTGATTAACTCTGTGCTACTTCATATAACACGAACAGTCTCATGAGGATCAACCACGAAGTATTTCATAATACCTAAACATTTTAGGAATTAAGATGAAGGTTCTGCTTTTTATGCTGTGGTACTAGGTTCACTGATGACATGTTAGGAAAGCCTGCAATCTTTACATGAGATTGTTTTCATTTTTGTCAGTTTCTTAATTTAATCTTTTGCAGTTCGTGCACAGGTGCCTCATACTGTGGATTCCAATTTCAAACTATCAGAACTGGTCTCACTAAGACTTTCAGCTGACATTAATGCTGTGTAAGGAAAATGATTAATTTTATATTATTATTCTTTTAAAATTATTGTCATCGTTTCGTTTGTAAAATGGGGAATTCTGATTTTGAAAGAACACTAGTTAATTACAAGTCAAGTTTTTCTGACAGAAATCCCTTCCCATCTTCTTTCAGAATCAGTGGTCATGGCGCAATAAGTATGGGAATTGTCGCAAATGAATGGCAAAGAACTATGGAAATTAGTGGTGACTTCCATCTACATGTCCCATTAAAGGCAACCATATCAGCAGACTGGAATGATAAGAGCTTCAAGGTTGAATTCCCTTCAGTCTGCAAGAAGACTGAGCTGGTGACAGCAAAGTAGAGTAACTTTTGTTTATATAAAATCTTAGCTCTTGTTTCATGCTACTCATAATCCTTTTACCAAGACATGCTGGGGAGTGAAGCTATACATAAAAAGTCTGTGTCATATCACAGAGTTATAGTATCTCCCATCAGTGTAGCACGGTACCACATATGTTGTATCCCTCACATGAATGCTTTTTTATTCAATTTATCGTATTCCATATTTATATATATATTAAATCATTTTCATTGCATATCCATGTAGACATGGCTCATACTTGGTAGCCAGAAATTTAGCAGAGTCCAGTGTTGAGAAGAAGATCCCACTTGTTCCAGAAAAACTAGAAGCCAGTCTCGAGGATGAACATTTCAAGTCAGCAGAAGGAGCTTCAAGAGAAGACAACTTGGCAGTAAGTATCAGTTCCTCATGTGTGGAAAGTGTCTGTAGCTTTTAGAAACCAATTTTCTCAGTGGCTATTGCTAGGCAACCATAATAGTACTGACAGATTTCAGTCCTTTGTTTCTGTCAGTAAAAGTCAGTAGAAAGAGGTGGAGCCCTTTCCAGGGCTGTTTTGGGCTTTGAGGGAGGACTTATCCGGGCCTGGCAGAAAGCACCAGATGACTTGATATCTAGGATCTTGCATGATTTACACAAGATTGGCTCCTTGCTCCTGTTCAACAGCAGCCATACCATGAAAGCCACTATGGTATAGTCGTTAGCGTTTCAAACTAGGAACTGGGAGGCTTGGGTTCCAGTCACCGCTTTGCTATAGAAGCTCACTGGGAGACTTTGGGCTAATTACATACCTCACAGAAATGGTGAGGATAAAATGAAGGAGAGGGGGACGATGTAAGCTGCTTTGGGTCCTCAGTGTGGAGAAAGACATTGTATAAATGAGGTAAATAAATAATAAATACAGCTAAAGATAGAGAGCAGATAAAAGGTATGTTGGGTGGGTTGGTGGGTAGGAGGGAGAGAAGGAAGCAGGAAAAAGTGAGGATAATAGGGTTACCAGGAGGAAGGAAAGAGGAAATAGTGTGGGGAAGGGGATACAGTGGAAAATGAGGTGCCCTCTGCAAGTCCTTGCTGGTTCCTTCCCATTGAACTGGTCCTGGCCTGGCCTGGCCTGGCCTGGCCTTGCAGCTGGCAACACAAAATTGGGCCCAGCCTAGCAATTGGAACTGTGCAACTGGGCAGTAGTTTTCCCAAGCGGAGGCTGCCAGGGGGAAGGGAAGGAAGAAAAGCTGAAGACAGGAAGGCAGACAAACATAGATTGGCTGGTGAGTAGGAAGGAGAGAAGAAAGCAGGAAAAGGGGAGAGGCTATGGGGGCTTTCAGGGAAGAGAAAGAGAAAATAGTGGGGATGGAAAAAATGATATGCCCCTGCAAGTCCTTGCAGCTCCCCCTCCCCCCCTTACTCTATAACTTTTATTTGTGTATGTGGGTCCTTTGCATTTTACTTTGGCTTAGCTTGTTTCTTTAAAAAAATATATTTTGTTTATAATTAATCAGAATAAAAACAGACATATAAGTATAAATATTAATAACAATTGAACTAACAACATCAGTGAATATAAAAAACCCACAGAAAATAAACATCAGCCATAACAACAAAAGAAAAAAAAAACCATAAAGTTTATTTAATACATTCTACATACATATCGCTCTAAAAAAAGAAGAGAAAAAATTTAAAATATTCTGGGCTGTGAAGAAAACTTTAACAGTAAAATTAATAAAAATAGAGGCTTATACAATCAAGGGAAATATCAACAGGGTTATTTTTCAATCTATTCTTCATAACATTACCATCTGTAATTTTATCATAATAATATCATAATAAATTACTGATTATCTACTTAGCCACTTTCACAAAATACATTATCCAAACTTATCCACTTATCAAACTTCATACCTACCTTACCTATCTACAAGCTCATACTTTTCTTCTGATAGATATAATAGTCATTCCAGATCATTCTTTCTCACATCCTGGCCCCTATTATGTATCTATTTTTTTTTTAAAAAAAAACACATAGTTATATATATTGGCTGTTAAATAATATTTGCTGTTCCAGAAGTTACAGAAAGGTAGCCAGCTCCGAGCAAAATAAGGCCTCCCCTCATGCAAACTTTGCCAATTTCACAATTTACAATATTTCGGTTACCTATTTTTAAATATTAATGATTTTGGAAATTTCCAATCACACTCATTCTTGTGAGTGTAATCATGTCATGCACCACTAATCTATGTTTTGTTGGGATGTATGTACTTATCAAGCCCAACAGTAAATCTTGGGTCTCTAGGTGATTTTAAATCTGTCATTCTTTGGTTTAGTTTATTCCATTTGGAATAATTCCCTGTATTGACAAAAAACATGTTTATTGTAGCGAAAGATTACTTCTGAGAAAAAGCTCAAGAAATCTGCTGGTGCTGAGATGCCAATAATACAAAAGTCAAATGTTGAAAGTACATACAAGCCATTGCCAAACGTAGATCTGGAGTTGCGTACCAACCGGAAAGCAAGAAAAAATGCATTTTTAACAGAAGTAATGAAAAGGATAACTGGAGAACATGAATTTACAATGGACATCTTACCAGGTACTATATGTAAATCAAATGTTCAGTTCATATTCTTATGAGCATGCATGAAATCATGCTCATTTTCTAATGTATATGCATGAATTGTAGGCTCTACATGTGCTGAAGTTCGGATGATAGAGTTGGAGGTCGATTGTGGTACCAGGGTACCTGACAAAACAATGGAGCTGCTAGCCCGAGAGTCTGAAGCTGAAGTGGCCCTCAAACTTCAAAAGGTATATAAAAGACACTGAACTTAGAAAAGAGTTATCATACCACTTGCCAAAATTAAACATTTTAATAGGGCTGCGCCACCCATCAGGTTCCAGGATCCTTCACCTAGAGGTAAAGTTTCTGTAGGTGAAGGATCCTGGAACCTGATATTTCTGTTTAAATGGACGACATCTTTTTTCTGTCTAAGTCATTCTTTGTAGTAGCTGTAATAGTCACACATCATTCAACTGTTATATTAAATATAGTTACTCTAATAGTTTTGTTTCCTTGGTAAGAAAAGGAATGGGTCAAATGCAATGTCACTGAAATAATATTTATTTTTAAACCAAGGTGCTTTTCAATTGTTTTATATCACCCTGTGCTTTACTCTTAATAATGCAGCAGAGTCCAAGTGAAACTCAGAAGAATGCACCGTCTGGCAAGAAACAAAAGGCTCATGCCTCCTCATCGTCCTCCTCCTCCTCCTCTTCATCTTCCAGCTCTGCCTCCTCCTCCCCCTCCTCCCCCTCCTCCCCCTCCTCCTCTTCTTCCTCCTCCTCCTCCTCCTCCAAGTCATCTTCTTCTGAGAAGAAAAACAAAAGGAGAGACAAAAGCAGCAGCAGCAGCAGCGACAATAGCAGCAGCAGCAGCAGCAGTAGCGGCAGCAGCGACCGGAGTAAGAGCAGCAGCAGCAGTAGTGAAAACAGGGAAACCAGGAGCAACAAGCAGAAGCCTGCAGGTCAGCGTGAACCAAAACGCGCTTCCCAGGACAGGGACAGTACTTCCAGACACAGCAATGGCCAGAGCCACAATAGTGACCAGAGTGGCCGCAGCCACCGCCGCCGCCGCAGCAGTGACCAGAGCAGCAGTGACCAGAGCAGCAGCAGCAGCAGCAGCGACCGGAGCAGCAGCCGCCACAGCAGCAGTGGCCAGAGCAGCAGCAGTGACCAGAGCAGCAGCCGCCGCAGCGGCAGTGACCAGAGCAGCAGCAGTGACCGGAGCAGCAGCAGCAGCAGCAGTGGCCAGAGCAGCAGCAGTGACCGGAGCAGCAGCAGTGACCAGAGCAGCCGCCGCAGCAGCAGTGGCCGGAGCAGCAGCAGCAGCAGCAGCGGCAGCCGCAGTAGCAGCAGCAGTGGCAGCAGTGATAGTAGCAGCTGCAGTAACAATAGCTGTGAGAAGGGCCAAAAGTCCACTAGACGGGTAAAAGTGCTGTCATTGTCATGAATACAATTGATATTGTTTGGGATGGGGAACAGGAAAAGCAATTCATACCCAAAGCTCAGCAAACCAGTTCCAGGTGATTGAGGTGAAAAGCAGATCTCTTCACCTGGAGCAGGTCAGAATGAGAGCCGTGCAAGAATGTACAGCTGTGTTCCTTTCAGGTAACAGTGCATAGCATGGGTCTTCTGGAACCCAGAACAATCCATCACCTGATCGGCTTGACAGCCACTCCATCCACTGGCCAGATAAGCCTGGGCCATGGTGCTTGGAGTACGAAAGCCCCTTCTGTAGATTTTGTGCCTGAACACAAGCTTTGCTGTGCTAGCACACATGTGCAACAGGATGAAGTACATCCAGGGCCATTTCAACTGCACTATAAATCATGGCTTTTTGAGCCACATAAGAAAACATTGGCATGAGCTGTCAGGATTGGGATGCCAGGCTGCAGGCCTGCTTGGGATGAAAGTTGTGCTATTCTGGTTGTGCTATGTAGCATGAAATCAGAAGTGTACGAGGCCATACAGATAAGTACAAGGTTACATTGGATGCTGTAGCCATTATATTCTTTGGATTGTGAACACCTATGGTGAGCCCACTAATCCTCTGTCTGACTAGTGGGTATACTTGTGTTCTGAAACATGCTGAATGTTGGATGCCACCCTTGCCGCCTGAAACATTCTCTGTCAGGAAGAGACCCTAGTGCCACTGATCTGTTACCTTGAAAGGCTGCAATGGATAATTGTTACTTTGAAGCAGAATGGTCTGAAGTGTGTACTTTGTTCTCCACTTTCCGATAGTCTGGAAAACCTTGGTGAAACATACTGCTTTAGGAGGAGGAGGAGGAGGAGATTGGATTTATACCCTGCCCTTCACTATTTAAGGAAGTCTCAAAGCGGCTTACAAACTCCCCTCCCCTCCCCTCCCCACAACAGACACTCTGTGAGGTGGGTGGGGCTGAGAGAGCTGTTGACAGAAACTGCTCTTTTTCAAGAACAGCTCTTTTCAGAACTATGGCTTGCCCAAGGTCATCCAGCCAGGTGAAAGTGGAGGAGTGGGGAATCAAACCCAGTTCTCCCAGATTAGAGTCCATGCACTTAACCACTACACCAAACTGGCTTTAGTGGTTTAGTCAGGCAGCTGTTTTTTCTATACATATTTAACAAAAAAAGTTTAGATGTTACTTCTTAATCCCCACATTTTCTGATAGGACTTTCAAGAGATTGACATTCAGGAACACTGGTGCTTTTGTTCAAGCTATTTGCCAATTAATATCATTCATTTATCATGGTGTCAACGTCGCCTTATTTTTAGCTTGGCCATTGGCAGTTCTCGAAAGAGCTATCTCAGCCCCACCTACCTCACAGGGTGCCTGTTGTGGGGAGGGGAAGGGAAAGGAGATTGTAAACTACTCTGAGACTCCTTCTGGTAGTGAAGGGCAGGGTATAAATCCAATCTCCTCCTCCTCTTCTTCTTCTTATGCAAAAAGCCTTTTTCCCCCCTTTAGGAGGCTCTTTAACTTTCTGTTTTTCTTTTTTTCTAAGCAAAACCCAGAAGGCCACCGCTTCACACCTCACGTTGAGCTGAAGGTAAGATGTTTCAGCCACCTTGTCAGGTGCTACAATAGAAGTCTGTGGACACAGCAAAAAACTGAAATTGTTAGGGAAATCAATGATAGTCCTTCAAAAGGTTTCTTCCTCCATTTCAATGTGATAAAGCGGAGTGAATTTCAGTTGGTTTAGTAAAAAATAGTTAATAAGAGTAGTTAATACACTTCAAAAGTCCTACAAATGACAAGTGCAAGGTGATGATGGAGGTGGTTTTCCCTAACTTTCCTTTCCCTTAGCAGCGCAGTAAGACCCCCCAAAAAGCCAATGCTGAGAGTTAGGGACCATGCAGACAAAAAGTTATAAGGCACAAGGGGATGTTATAAGTGGCGGGAATGTGCAACCACTCCACCTTCGTCCTTCTGTTGGCAGAAAGAAATGTGATGGAACAAGCTCTCCATTGGTGCAAGCAGGGGTAATTCTACCCCACGTGGTGTAAAGAGTGGGCATAATTTTTTGGGGGGTGAAGATTTTTACAAGAACATATTTCTTCAACAGTGTATACTGCGAATTGATTGCAGAACATTTCCTTTACAAGAATAAATTAAGAATATAAAGAACCAAATGAAATCTGAATATAACATGAGATGAAATTAAAACAGATATTTGTAATAAAAATGAGTTGTTCTAGTAAACATCTCTGCTTTTTCATATGCACTGCAACTCAGTTTTTTATTAATTTTTATTGAATTACTAAAACTTTTAAAGAATATTAAAGTATGGGAAATTTTGACAATGCCATCCTGAGCAGAGTTACACCTTTCTAAGTCCACTGAAGTCAATGGATTTAGAAAAGTCTAAGTCTGCTTTGGACAGCACCAATAAACTACCATGGATGGGGAAGAGTTCATTGATTAAAATGACAATGATACCTTCCTTTTTCAATGTCCTCTTATATCAAAGATAAGTGTCTATCAAATTGTCAGGAATCATTCAAAAATTCTACTCTAATGGTAAGTGTTATATGTATTAAATTTTAAACAAAAAGTAAACTGGAAGTATGTCTTTCCACATATTTGTTGCTCATAATTTAAATTCTAAATACAGATGATTATAGTCTGGGTTAATCAGAAGGGAACTTTGTTTTCTTCATGATACTTCATGAATTCTGTATATCGCTATCAGACTGGAACTTCTTTGGTGGAGACTAGGAAAGATTCCAGAGGAAGAGGTTGAAAATCTAGTTAAAATCAAAATATGTCTTCTTGTAAATTATTCAGTAAAGCAGAAACTAAATAGATTTTTATGCTACAGTGTAATCAGTTAAAGAGTTTGATTGAAAGCAAGATAAGTTATAATCAAAACAGCATAGGAAAGGCAGTTCAAACAAATCACAGTAGATGTTAGAAAAGACATGTTCTCAAAATGCAATCAGCTTTTGAATAGCCTTAAGAAAGAGTATGAAAAGGAATATATGTTATGAAAAATGGGATATGATTGGGCCAAGAGAAAAATGATGGTCCCTGATGAAGTGTGAATGATCTGGGGTTGATTGAAACTATTTTTCTAAAAGTTTTAAATTCTTATCATATTTTGGATGTATTTATTGTATTTAATTAAAAAAATACAGATGTTTTTAAAACAGCAGCCGTAGGTTGCATGGCTGGGTCTCACACATCAAAATGTATAAGAGAAAATATTCTGAATAATAAATGGTTTTATACTATCGACTGAAAGGAAAACTGCCTTGTTCATGTTACGTAAGAGACTACTTGTACTGCTCGTTATAATTCTGCAAATTATTTTAAATCTTGCGGATGCACTTCTTCATCTTTGTAGGGGACACAACAACGTGGAATAGCCAGTGGTATTCGCAAACCCGGCACCCCTGGCATCAAGAGCAGCAGCAGCAGCAGTGAGAGCAGCCGCAAGAGCAGCAGCCGCAAGAGCAGCAGCGGCGAGAGCAGCAGCAGCAGCGAGAGCAGCAGCAGCAGCGAGAGCAGCAGCAGCAGCAGCCGTCGCAGCAGCTCCTCTTCCTCCAGTTCCAGCTCTAGCAGCAGTTGGGAGGTGAGTCTCAAAATAAGTTCCGATTGTCAAATGCCAACATTGATGGGATTTTGCAGATCTGCTGTAGTTAGAATAAATAGGAAACAGTACTAGAATTTATAATGATTGTAAGTAAATTTACTTATAGTATCATTTACTTATAGGTAAGACATTTCCATTCCATGTAAAAAAACCCTGCAAAATAATTAGCAGTGGTTACTAATATTAAAACACAAAAGCAGAAGGAATGAATAGACAAATCTCCCAAAGTTCTGTTTAATTAAATATTTTCAATTGCCCTTCTAAAGATTTTGAGAGAACTACCTTGTGAGCACACTCTTCAGAATGGCTGTTGAACAAAGAAAGCTCTTATCCATTATTCTTGCCTTGGATGGCAAAGGAATATGAAGAAAGGCTTCATGTCCATGACCTAAGTGAGCACAGAGATTCATGTGGAGAGCCAGAATGGTTTAGTGGTTAAAGTATCAGGATAGGACCTCAGCCATGAAGCTCACCAGGTCACCTTGGGCCAGTCACTCTTTCTCATCCCAAACTACGGCACAAAACTGTCTCTTGGGAAAAGGGGAGGGTACCATGTGCACTGGCCCTGGGCTCCACAGAAGAAGCACTGTGTAAAAATATAATGAATAAAAAGCTGGGACAAGGATCTTGGATCTTTGTGCAAGAGCTGAGGAACTTCTATACTCCCTCCCCAGCAGCCCCTTCTGATCCCAGGAAAGATAATTCCTGTGTTATGGATCCATGTGTAGTAATAGCCATGCTGGTTAGTGGAGTGTCGTGAGGAGGAGGAAGGAGGTGGTAAAACTGTTATCTTCTCCCTCTTCCATCAGTGGAGCTCTGCTGATGAAGGAGGCAGGGAAGGTGATACTGCATCCTTCCCCACTCCTCACTACAGCTCACTGACCCACATAGCCTATTACTCCATGTGGGTGTTGCATTTTGAGAGTCAACCTTTCTGGGTCAGAAATTACTGCTTTAGGGAGGAGAAAGCAGGGATGATTCATGATGATTCAATGCTTTCCACCAGTGGATCATTGCATCCATAAGGACTGATACTTTTCACATAGGGTATTGCTCATCTTGAAAGAAGAAACATCCATGGCAGATTTCCTTTGTTTGTAAACTTTTATTTATATGTTTACTTTAATTAAATATTAGCATCTTCTTAGCTGTTGGTTGAGTCCCTTGATAGTTAGAAGTTGTGTGTTAAGCACTGAAATGAATGGCTTTTTGTAAGTCTGAGAAAGGCAAGCTTTCACTGAAAAACCTTTTAATGAAAAGTTTGAAAGCCACAGCTATTTTTAACCTGAAACTAGTTTCATTGTGCAGTTACTTTAACCAGAGTTGCAATCTAAAATATTTTTTCCCTTGTTCATTTTAGCTCAGTTCATTGCGAGAGCATAAAAAACCATCAGTGCTTGTTGTTTACCGTGTCACCTATACAAACGGTACCAAATACGGCCTCCTGTTTATGGGGTATGGAGACTTGGACACTCCTAGGCCCAAGATAGAAGTAGTTGTGTCAAACACCTCAGAACCAAACAAACCACAAGCCTTCATGGAAGCCGGATTCCTGAACCCTCACAAAGCAGTGGTGAGTCTCTTCAAATCCCTTATGCTGTCAGATAGCATCCAGTCCAAAAGCATTTAACAAACACTTGTGGAGTTCCCGGCCTCCCGGTGAAGCCGATGAGGTCCGGGGGCTTTTTTGCCGCCCTGGAAGAGCCGGGGCAGCAATAGAATTCATGACGCGTGTGTGTGTCGCGCGCGTGAGACGGCGGGGGGGGGGGGGGGGGGGGGGCAGAGCCGGCTCGCTAAACCGCTGGGCTCCGCTCCTGCCCAAACAGTCATTGGTCTTGGCTGTGGCAGATTGGTGCGGGCAAGAAAACCGGAACCGGTGAGCACCTTACAGCATTTTCCCCTTTAAGGAACAGGGAGTCATCAGGAACTGCCTTTGGATTTTCAGGTCCAGGGTAGGGAATGGTGATTACCTCCTCTGGGAACCTCTTAGGGTATGCTCCTCTCTGCAAGTTGGAAGGCTTCAGGGGTAGGCGCTCCTAAGGGGTGACCAGTTTGCTGGGCTGCTGGTCATGAGCCAGACTGATGGCTCAGGACCGGAGCTGGGTGACCTGCCCGAGAAAGGAGGTTGGTCAGGGGAGTGACACCTGCCTTGCCTGTTCCGTGCTCGTGTAGCTGGTCGCTTGCCGCAATGTTATGTTAAATAGTTAATAAAGTGGCCCTTGTTTACTTCCCAACTGTTGTCTGTCTCATTATTCTGACTGGGGGGTAAACAAACTTTTCAATATCCTGTTTTGTCCCACAGGCCGTTGTGAAATTTGGCCGGAACTGCAACCAGTATGAGATTAAAGCAACAGCTGAGACTGGCTTGTTTGATTATCATCCAGCTTTGCAAATGAAGGTTGACTATGCCCGAGTTCCTTCATACATTAAGAAGTTTGGAAATGAGTGAGTGGATGTATACATTTAAATCATTTATTTATAAGTTATCTGGTAGTATATATGTCAGTAAAAGCATCAAAGATCATAATTGATCTTTCCACACCTATGACTGGAAGCACTATCTTCAGTCTTAGTTTTGATTGGCTGCTGTTTCTTCCCATGCCCACTGCCAGCACTTAGACAAGACTCTGAGGGTAATTAGATAACCAGGAGGGATGGGGGGCAAGATGTTAGTCCACCCCCTCCTTCCTCTGCAGATGGGCAGGCTGGAGACAAAAACAGATTATTTTACCTCGTGCCTGAGCACTCATTGGAGATAACTGTTTCAACTCATGCAGAATGTCTTTACTACACTTGGGAACTATGGCCAACCTTTTGCTTTTCTTCCCCCTCCAGCTTTTCTTCCATGATCTTGGAAATGCTTTTCATGCTTCACAGCTCACAGGAAGAGCGGAGAAACCCCTCTGGCCAGGTCAAGATTATTACAGTTGCCAGTGCTTCACCAAAGTATGATGTAATTCTCAAAACACCACATGTGAGTTCTTTTGGTATTACTTCCATAGTGACAGGTTTGAAAGTACAAATTTAAATGAGTAGCACAGTTCTGCTTCCCTAATCCATTTTTGTTTGTTACATACATACATACATAAACCTTTATTGGCATAACACAGCAACAAGAAGGGCAGTGTTTTTGTTTGTTTGTTTTGCACCCCCTGTTTGCTTTTCCAAAATGTGAAAGGATGGAGCCATGTGTGCCAATGCTGGAATACATTAATGTATTTTGCTGTGATTCTTGACATAGAACACAGTGCAACTTGGCCAGTATTATTTAATTGACCGATAGTACAAGATGATATAATAGAGATGAAGTGGAAAACTGTGCATAATGAGGAAGCTGGAGGGGGTTGTACAAAATGTGGGTTGGCTTACATCCTTATGTCTGTCTGATATACAAACAGAAAAAAAGTGCTGAATGAACATTGGCTGTACTCAATTTTTAATGTTTTCATATTCCTTTACAGGCAATCACCACTGTCCCAAATGTCCTGCTCCCCTGGTCACTCTCTGAGGATGAGTTTAACCCAGCCAAGCGTCAACTAAGCTTGCTAGAGTTGATCACTAACCCTACCCACAAAGGTCAGTTGTTTACTAGCTCCATAGGATGTAACCTTTAAAAAAAAATTCTCTCTATCTTCATTTATATTATTTATAAATGCATGCATATATATGTATGAGGGTATGTATGAGTAATCTAGGAAATGTGTTTCTTCGAATGTACCAGGCTTTTTCACAATGTCATGTTCTTATGAGTGTAAAAAAAAAACACTGTATGCTTCAATATCTAATTTTAAAATGCTTGTTTTTCTTAGCTGAAATTGTGTTCCTTGAAATCTAATGATACCATGGCACTAATATATTGAGACATTTCAGAAATATATTTTAAAATCTAGACATAAGGCTCACCAGTTAACATTGTTTGTTCTGGAAGAATGAATGGGAAATGTTGCAATTACTAGAAATGATCTTCTTATGAAAATTGACTATAAAATGTGTGCACTTTGCTCTGAGACCACAAATACTAAATTATATTCCTTGAAGTAAGTATACTGTTCATTAGCTGTTCTAAGGACAATCAAACCCTGAAATTCTTTCACAAATGCACATGCTCACATTTTGTTCCCTGTTTAATAGGTGTTTGTAAAGTGTATCATAACAATCTTATAACCTTTGATGGAGCTGAAATCCAAATTCTTCAGGTTCCAAACTGCCCTCTGATTTTGGCTAAGTATCGTTATGAGGGCAAGCAGTTCTCTGTGATGATGATGCAGCGATCCATCAATGATCTCTCAACAGACCTTATATTTGAGAATAATGGCCGGTAAGTAGAGCTAATTTTATACATAAGTACAATAATACAGTTCAGTGAAAGGCTGTGAAGAAAAGTTTCAACCTCTTAATGCAGGGGCTATAAAATGCAAGAAAGGCTCCTGTATTTCTAGCATTTTGCAGAATGTGTAAAATAGAGCTGCTCAGGAGAATTTTTGCAAAGAGTGAATAGAGATGTATTAAAATAGATTTCTATAGAAGGAGAATTTCTGTAAAGGTAATAAAGTTTTAATTGTAATTGCCTGTGAAATTGTTAGGCTTTCTCCCCCCCCCCCCTTATTCTGTGTGCCTTACTGGATGTGTTACACTCTCTGTAGTTAAGCATCTTCTAACTGTGACATCCGGTTCTCTAACTGGGATATTAGGGCTAGGGTTTATGTGATGTATTATACTGTTTCTGTTTTATTGTTTTTTAATTTGTCTAATGCAGTTTTATTGCACTGTTCATGGTACACACCATATATGTACCACTTGTTCATGGTATGCATGGTATGCAATGTGTTCATTGCATTGTCTTTTATAACTCCAATCTGTCTTGAGTCTCAATGAGAAAAGTGGACAAAAACGATGCAAATAAATAAGAAATAAATAAGAAAACCACACAATTTGATCGTACCAACTGATCTGAGCAGTAACAGTATTCTCTTCTCTCATGTATACCCAGTCAGTTCAAGCCGCTATCATGATATATTTGTTACTGTTCTTGATCTTTGCATGTTTCTGCATTTTAGGATGTTTCTTAACATAATCAAACATTTCTCTGGATTTCTAGAATGTATCTATTTTTCAGGTGTTTTTTGTTTTGTTTTTTAAACAACTGGACTGTGCAGGAGAGTAATTTGACTTGAGTTATGTCCTTGGGTCTGTCTAACTGAGCAATTTCACTGAGTAATCCGTAGCAGCACAGCACAACAAATGGAGCCCTGGGTTTGGATCCTAAACCTGGCTTCTGACCTTGTCCGTCTGTTGTGAGGCAGTCCTCTGCTGCACAGTGCTTTCCCTTGGTGCTCGGTGGTTTTTGGTTCTGTGAATGATGTTGGTCTTGAGTTAAGTCGACAGTCCTAGTGCTGGAGGAATGCACTGTGCAGTGGAGGAACACCATCACAATGCTGCCCAAGCAAGATTTAGGATCCAAGTTTTAACTGAACCCAACGAGAGTAGAAATATGCCAGAGCCTTTCCTCCAGTGGAAGATTCCTTACTAAATGAAAGTGAAACCACTGGGTCGAGCCCAATATAATAAGTGGCATGTAATAACAGGCTGACTGTCTTGTCTCTTTTGGGCAAGGGGAATAATGCTTGGATAAGATAATGTGATCACTGTCATGGTCAACTATTATAGCAGAATTTATTGGAATTTTTATCCAGAAACTATAATTTGTGATCACAGCAGATTAACTCTCCCTTTTGCTTTATTTTTTATCAGAGAAATTAGATTGACAATAAGAGATGGAAGATATCAAATAGAATTTGATCATGTTGCAGTGCCCCTGTCATCTTTTCCACTCCACCTCAGACATGGTATGTATAAGGGCATAGATGTGACCTTTTAATCCAGACGCCGCTTCTACATGGGAGAGGCAGTAGGGTGGGAGCAGGCATGCCCTGACTTCTGTGTTGCTTGCTGCAGATGCTCCCCACCTTCCCTTTATTACATTGACACAGAAGTGCTGATATACTATAATGACAATTGTGCTAGTCCCCCTAAAAGCCTGACACTACCCATTTCTCTCTTCCAAGCTGAGCCACGGAGCAAAGCTGCACCACAGCTCAGCTATGAAACAAAAAAGCTAAAAGGTCTGGGGGACTAAACGGAGGGGGGATTGCAGGGTTTAGCTCTGCAGTTTTGAAGGCCAAGCTCAGCTCAGCTTCCCACCCTGTTCTGACTGCAGGTCAGGCATCCACACGGACACTCTGCCTTCAGCCACCCCATGTGCTTCCCTTGAGCTGGATCAAAGGATGTTTACCCTTTGTCTGGTTCAAAGAAGAAAACCTCCGGAGGCCCATTGTGCAGACACTCCCAGAAACAGAGGGAGCATCCTGCTGTCCACAGGGGAGACAATCCCTGTGTGGAAGCAGCCGTAGATTGAGCAGCAAGTGGTAAGGTTTGAGCAGAATTGTTGGGAGACCAAAGCAAAAAACCAAGATCATTGCAGAAGAAAGCTTGCATGAAAAAATAATCACATTATTTAGTCATCCTCCAACTGAGGGCTAGAAAATGGTGGCTAAGTCTGCCACAAATCTGAACAGGTTATCGGTATCTCTTCATAGAGACCTCAGAGGGGTTTTGTACCCAGGAATATTCAATATAACAGTGACAATTATTTAATCCAAGAAACATTTTATTAGTTTGATTTGTCTGTTCCCTCCTTGTTTCAGAGAAATTATCATTTTGACTTTTATTTTACAGATGCAGACATTACCATCAAAGAGGAAAATGGTCAACTTGTACTCGAGGCTGCTAAACAATTAACTTGCTACTATGATGGACAAAATATCACGGTATTTTTCTCTCTACAATGAATGCTTTCAGGACTGCAAAATGATTGCAAGTTAGAAAGCAAAGCTGTGCTTACCTGTCATATTATCAGAACAAATCACCAGCCATAGCTGATAATGATAAATGATGGGGAAATTCACTCAAATCCTTTGCTGATTAAAATTAACAGAACCTGTCTTGAATTCAGATATTGTTCTTTACCAGGCTGAAGAAGGCTGCTGTAAAACTTCAGTCAACATTGGGCAGTGTCAGCCTTCATGAGTCTTTCTTTATAAACTCCCAAACCACACCTTGAAGATAAAAAGCTCTCCCTTTTGCTGAGGGCTCCAGTGGTCAGGTTGGCACTGAGTGCACAGCCTACAGGCAGATCCAAGTTGTTCAGCCCAGCCCTTTGGGGAGATCAGAGCATTGACTGTGGATGTTCTGATCCCTTCCTCGCTCTCCCTGCTCCTTGCTTGGGAAGCCACATGACAGGTGGAAGGGATCAGCCTCCCTCACCCCACCACCTATGGACCTGCCAACTTGCAGTTTTTTCTAGCAAGCCTTTACAATGCAATGGCAAGGTTTGACGTGTGCGTGTGTGTGTGGGGGGGTCAGGGCCAAAATGCCACCCCCCCAACAGTTGTGTGGACCCTAATAGAGCTGGATGCCACCACAGGGCAGTAGTCTTTGTATGAGTTGTCTACCTCTGGTTTGGCAAAACAGGTTCATAGTCCTACGAAATGTTTTTCATTGTTACTGTAAGCAAAATGCCAAATAGTTTTGTTTTTGCTTTCATGAAGATTGAAGCAAACCCCAAAATGCAAGGAGAACTACAGGGGTTATGTGGGCGATTTGATGGTGAGCAGGAATTCCGAACTCCAAGTGGATACACAGCTAAAAATGCATGGAGCTTTGTTCAGTCTTGGGTGCACACTGAGGGACCCTGTGATGAAGGTAAGCAGGTTCTGATAACATGTTTTTTAGTCTTATTTCCCCACTAAGTTAACCAGCATCAAGACAGTCATTCTAGAAATGTCAGTAAACAATAGGGAATGAACCTAAATTCATTTCTTACTGTAGACAGGGAGAGTTACTATATGAACCCTCCAGTCTTTCAACTGGTATTGAAAGATTTCTGTTTATCCTGTTGCAGACTGCAACCTGAAACACTCACATGTGAAACTTGAAAATACAATCGAGTACCTGGGTGAACAATCAGAATGTTTCACTGTTCAGCCTGTGCTGCAGTGTCGTGCGGGCTGCTTAGCAACTGCTACCACTTCCATTCCTATTGCTATGCATTGTCTGCCAGCTGGTAAGTCAACATAATGTCTACTTGTTTGGGTTACCTACAATAGTTTATTCTAGTAATCTTGGACACAGGGCATAAAGTGAGCCTTACGTCTGAGTGGATAATTAAGAAAGTATTTTCCTGCACCAACTTTTTGCTAGTCCCCAGCTTTTGGAAGATTTTTCAGGTGGAGAGGATGAGCTCTGAGCTTGATTGTATTGTTTCATTAGCATGTCCACTGACAGACAAGTGCTTCATTTAACCTTCCAGCACATGTGAACACACTTTAAAGGGTTTTTTTTATGCTTTCCAAGTTTGAAGATTTGTTATATTGACCAGAATCGTTAAGTGGGTGTGTGTATACAATATCTGCATTAATGATTTGTCTAGAAATGGAGTTTGGTATGACTATGATCTTACACTAGTCATCTGAAAGGTAGATAACAGTTACGCTTTTTTATTTTAACTGATAGAAGCAGGGTTGGCTCTGTACAGCAGGTGTATCAGGATTTCCCAAATCAAACTGGAAACCAAGGGATGTGTGTTAACTGAAAAAAGAGAAAAATACCCACACTCGGCATCCAAACTCTACCTAGAACCTCAAAGCAATCTTATACCTCCTCCTAAGGCCCTATAGATCCCATTTTCTTGTTTTTGTCACAATGCAACAGAAAGTTTTCTAGTGCATCACCACCATAAGTTGCCACCGGATGCAGGTGAATGCGTTAACAGAAGTTCTGAGCACACTGATAGTCCAGTTCTAAGTATTCTTACTCAGGAGTCCCACTGAATATGTTCCATCCTGAATTGGACATGCATCCTGAATTGGACATGCATCCTGCTGATTCTAAGTGAAATTGCCCTGTGTACTACATTTCAGATGATGATATAAAAAGCACTCTTTCAGCTTTTCCATTCTTATAATTTCTTCATTCCTTTGTCTCCAGGTTCCACAACAAACTTACTTGATACACAGATGAGACTAGAGCAGAAGTCTGAAGATCTGGAGCATTTGGTTGAAGTTCACAGGTCGTGCTCTTGTGAAAATAAACGTTGTGCCTCATAAGTTTCTGGCCCAGCAAATTAGAAACCTATAGTGTTGTGTGCAGTCAGGATGTTTATTCCAGGCAGTCACACAAATCATAATTTAAGTATTTTAAAAGTCTTACTAAATCTTCCTGAAGAAATCTGACCTTGTAAAGAAAGTCAAACCATTTCCTTGTAGAAACAAGGTTAAGTATTAATGAAATATATGATTTCCTAATAAACACTGGCATTCTAAAAGAAAAAAAATACATGGCTGGCTTTTTATTTCACTATATATGCGTAAAGGTGAACTGGTGTGTATGTGTGATTGGATACTTTCAAACCTCATCAGGAATTGTGGCATGCAGGATTGTAGCTTCGTATGGGTAATATCTGCAACAGAGAAGAAATAACAGAACTCATATGACCTGACTCAGTAGGAATAAAATCAGCACCCAAACCCACCTGCACAAAGCTATCTAGTCTCCATCGGGCTGTAACTGTGTCATGTTTTTTTTTTTTCATGCATTCCTCTTGCCATTAAGAACATCAATATTGATGTCAGTTCCCCCTTCCCACACCTCTCCACAGACTGTGTTTTTGTTTTGCTTGGAGACTTCAAAATGAATGATACAATATGGATTGGATCCAATCAGCTTTTCTGCTGGTGAAAAAGGAAGGAGCAGATCCCCTTTGACCACCAAAAAGGCTATGCAGGAAATCATGGGACCTGCAGCAGAGGGAGTAGTAAGGAAGGAGATTGGGCGTTATTAATGAACTCTACAGTTTTTTTAATTTCCTTGCCCTATTGCATGGGGAAATGCCTTAAGGAACAGGTGTCACTACTGGTTTCAGTGAACAAGGAATACTTGTCTCCCATTGTCATCCATTTGAGAAGCACAGAAATGAATTGGGAAAGCTTCAAAGTATATCTGGAGGCTTAAAACACACAATAGATTTGAATTAATCCAGGCAGTAGTAGATTCATTGAGAGCCACACAGAAAGCCATTGAGATCTGTAGTCTAAATTGTAGCATATGGTTCTGGATTCACTGAGAGTATAGCTCTAAACCAGGGAGCTGTTCTCCAGGTACTGGTCTGTGGATGGGAACAACTATATTTCGCAACACAAACTAGTCCCCTCATTCTTAGCCAGGCTTCGGAATAGAATTGTTCACCACTAACTAGCAGTAAGGGTTTCACAACTGAGGTCCTCTTCGCACTTGCCTGCCACTCCAGCTTTTCTCAGTGTTTGTGTCAAGGCAATTTAAGCCCACAGCAAAAGAGCATCCAAATAACCTGGGGGAACAGCAGGCTGAAACCGGGCTGACCACCGAAGGGAGGTAATAGAGTGCAGAATGGAGAGAGAAACCTCGATTAAAAAGAAGGTTGAATTCAATTTTAGTGCAGAATTGCTTGGAGGACACCGCGGTGAACATGGATTAAAAGGAGTGTGTAGAAAGGGCCTGAGTGGGAGGTGAAGCCCTAGCAAACTCCAAAAAACAATGTAGCATTTTTATTTGGACCATACCTTTTAAAACTTGAAAACAGTTTATATTTTCCTTAAAGTGGGAAAACTTTTCTCTATACCTTGGTTAAAATTTGGTAGGTTTACCAGAGGCTGTTACCCAGTTCATGGGCCACCTGTTGGATATCCATGGGTGGTCAGTCTTCAGCACAGGTGACACAAGTGTCACAAGCAGTAGGCATCTGTGGTGCCTCAGCCATGATTTTGCTCACTGACTCTGTTTAGACTAGAGGCAAAACCCACATGCAGGTGCAGAGGACGACATATGAGCTGTAAAGCATACCTAAGTCACACTGGCTGTCTTATTCCTTGGAACTGATTTCTGGCACAGGTGCCAAAAGAGATTGGCCACCAGTATTCTGGTAACAGTTGTCTATCTAACTATGATAACTTTGTATAAACAAGAGTGTGAGGCTATAGTACATCCCCCCTCCCTCAAATCTAACGTTTTAAAGATCTATCAGGATGAGAGTTTATAGCATCCAGCATGGAAACTTGTCTGGCATGTGACATCTTTGGGGTCCTCTTTGCTACAGCAGTGCCTTTGGTGGGCTTCCTGTTCAACAGACACAACCTTTATTCCCATGTCTATGTGAATGCAATATTACAATTTTAGAGCAAGTTGCATATGTGTGTTGAGAGTGCAAGAAACCGTGCAGAAGATTCCAGGTTCAAATCATGGCATTGCCAGTTAAATCGATCAGACAATAGGGGATATAAAAGACCTTTTCCTGAGACCCTGGAGAGTTCCTGTCTGTCAAAGTAGACCATATGACTTTATTAAGATTTCTACACGATATTTTGGGAACACCTCAGTGAATGTCTAGAATAGCCCTGAGAGTCGAAGTTGGGGAGATGTCTTATGAAGCAAAGGCCTGGGAAAGAGTATTCAATTCAAAAATTAGGACTCTAAAATTAAAACCAGATCTAAGCCTCCTCAGACTAGTTAAGATGGACCGCCACACAAGTGATTGGGACAGATTAAAAAGTAAAGGTAAAGGTTCCCTTGCTCGAAAGCCAGTCGAATCCGACTCTAGAGTTGCGATGCTCATCTCTGTTTCAAAGCCGAAGAGCCAGCGCTGTCCGAAGATGTTTCCGTGGTCATGTGGCCGGCATGACTAAACACCAAGGCGCACGGAACGCTGTTACCTTCCCACCAAAGTGGTACCTATTTATCTACTTGCAGTTTCTTGCTTTCGAACTGCTAGGTTGGCAGGAGCTGGAACTAGAGACGGGAGTTCACTCCATCATGCGGCACCCAGGTCTCGAACTGCTGAACTACTGACCTTCCACAGCCTGCAGTTCAGCGTCTGGATTACTGGACCATAAACTATTATGACATGATAGAAGTCACAAGTAGACTGGAACTGTCACAGCTCATTAGAAGATGTTTGAGAGACTTTGACTGTGAGAGCATGTTGATTAGAGTCCACAGTGTGCTCAACCTTTTCAGTAGGCATTCAGCCTCCAACAGCAATGTCAAATTATTTATCTGAGATAATTCTTCTGAAGTATAAAAGGGCATTTATGCTAGTGTGCCTGAAAGTCCTACCTTTAGCTGTGATGTCAGGAAGGTTCAATGGGATTTCATACTCAGATCGACTTTGTAATTGAGGCAGTAGTAAAATTGATTCTGTGGATCATAGTTTGCTTGATTGTCCCAAATTTTCAGCTCTAAGAGACGAACTGATCTCCCCTTTATTTAATCAGGACTTCCTCTCTCCAGAAGCAAAATCACACAGGTTACTTAGAAATGAAGACAGACAAACTACCCTGTGTGTGGAAAAATTTCTAGCAACCATTGTCAAATCACATGACAACTTTTGCAGAAGCAAACTTTAAATTCTTCCATGTTTTCCTGTAGAATGTGGTTTATTGTGGGATGACTCCAGTTGCAAAAACAGTAAAGACAATAACAATAACAATATAACAATATGACTTAGATGGACCAATGTTCTGATTCAGTATAAGGTAGGTTCATGTGTGATGAGATCATGGTACTAACTTTTGCATCAGGTAATTGAAGCACAAGTTAAATTCCAACCATTTTTGCAAAACTAAAACTTGTAAAACACATAATCAACAATGTTTGAATTTCACTATGAATCAGTCAAAGTCTTTCCTCCCCAATCCTTATTTTTTCTGGTTCCTTTCCTAAAATGCAAACATTCTGGAGATTGATTCTTGTTAACATAAATAAGATTATTGGATATGAGCTAAGTTTTGACCCAATGACCATGCTGTTAGGATATATAAATGATGGACATGTGAAATACTCTTATAGAAAGATAAACTAGAATTTATTAGTGGCTGTTCGTCTTATTACACAGTGACGGAAGAAACAGGATGGGATTCAGAAAGTTTGGAACCTTATAGTTATCAATAAACTGTCACAAGGGACTTCCAGTTTATGGTGACACGCTAGCAGATGCATCTCCCGGACCTGCCAGGGATGTGATCTGTGCACCAGCAGATGGGGGGGGCGACTGGTCGCCACCCCCCTCCTGGAGCCTTGGTAAAAGGCTCCTAGCCATGGGGCTTTTGAAGGGTGGCCTCTTCGCCAGCGCATTGCTGGGGAATTGAGGTGCCTTTCCGCCCCGATGGTCCTGCCGCTGAGTGTTTGTATGGAACTAGAGCCGCTGACCGGGACAAGCGTCAGAGATCGGGGATTTGAAATGTATCCCGAGTGAGGTCGTATGACCAACAATGAACAGTGAGTCGAGTTAAAGTGAATGATGGGAATTTAAAAAGAAAAGCACCCCCTGTGAATGGAGAGAAAACCAAGTGGGGGAGGGGAGGGGCCCCTCCCATATGCACAAATGAAAAAGCGACCTACCAAGGGGGGAGCAAAAGCAAAAGCGTTGAAATCTGTTTTAAGAGATTTACCAGAGTGTGGCCAGGTGTTTGGGCGAATTTCAGAAACTTTAGCAAGTTTTTTAAAAACTAAACAATCCATAAAGATGGTGGGGAAGAAGACGGAGAAAGACAGACGGGCAAAAGTGAAACTAGCGGGGAGCATGAGCCCTCGACCGGAAGAGGTCACCGAGTTCTCTAAACAGCTGGCAGACTCTTTGCACCCACTGCTGGACCAGATGACTAACATCAACCAACAGCTGATAACTTTAAATCCCTTGCAACTCAGCAGCTCCAACTGACTGAAACTTCAAAAAAGACGGAGCAAACAGCTGAGAAAGTGAAGGAAATGGATGCCAAGAACAAAAAAGTTAAGAAAAAAGTGCAAATGCTGGGGGGGGGGGAAAGCAGGCTTTGGTTGAACTTTTACAACTACAAATGGAGAAAGCAAATATGGTCCTCAGGTTCCAAGGGGTTCCAGAGACAAAAGACAAGAATCTAAAGCAACTTTTGAGTGAAGCATTAGCCCCAGTCACAGATTTGAAAGCGGAATATCTTGTAAGCAAAATGGATATGGTCTACAGGGCCTATTCTGTTTATATCAAGAAAAATAATCTGCCTGGGGAGATAGTGGTTAGATTTTCAAAGAGACACATAAGGGATTTAATCCTGAAAGCAACTGCAGTAACACCTTTGAAAATGGGGAACAATACCATCAAGATCCTGAAAGATATCCCGTTTGAAATAAGGCAAAAGAGGAAGAAGTACAAAGACTTAATCCTTTTTTTTAACAAACAAATGGCATTGCCTACAGATGGTTGACTCCAGAAGATGTCATTTTCAGACTACACGATAAAAAATA